AGTTTGATTGAATTAGCGACTTATCCATTAAATGAGTTTGGCACTGGACATTCAAAAAATGAGATACTATCGGGTCGGGTGAATTCAATAATAGACGTTTGTTGGCATTTCAGTATTTCTTCTCCTTTCAAGGCCTACTCGAAAGAGAGTCCAGTATTTATTGATCGTGAATATCTAAATAGGATGAGCCGCTTCGTGGTTTGCTTTGAAACAAAACAATTAGAATTAGGCTCGTTGACGAGATGTGTATCATCATATCTTGTAAACACCCCTTAGTCATCTCACATGTGGAGAGAGTTAAAAAAAAAAACTTGGCCCAAACAGCTTGGGCCGGGGCATACAAAACGCGCACACACAATGGGCCCACCTCGACTTTGGCAATCTCAGCTTAGGCCCAAATGTAGGCCCAATTAGAGTCATGATCCATGTGCCATAACAAAAACTATAAACTATACATTGTCAAAATCATTAATTAACATTATTAATAATTATTTGATTTCAACTATAGTTATGGTTTTGATTCACTGTCTTTTAGCCATTTTAAATATAATTTAAAATAAATATATATATGATATTATGCTTTTGAGATAAATATTAATAAAAATTTAAAAATTATAATGCAATCATATGTATTAGAATAAATCATTAGAATATTTATTCGTATTTTAAATTCAACTAAAAAATAAAAATAATATATATATTTTTAAAAAATATTAAGTAAAACTTATAATTTGAAGTAGAGATGTTTTAACTATATTCGAGTTCTCGAGCTAAAACTATTAACAGCCTAATTATTTAGAGTGATTTATGAAAAAAAATAATAAATTAAAAATTTAATGGGTTTAAGAAATATATATATAATTTATAACTGATTTTGTGAAAAAATGATGGAGAAAAAAAAAAAACTGCTTACAAAGCACGAAAACGGGATAAATATTTATCGACACGTCGTTTAGTGACTGATGACGTCAGCAAACTTCGTCTTCTTGTTGTTGAATAAACGCTCCTCCCTTATCCGTTGCCATATCCTTCTTAAACCATGATTCTGCCGCTGCCGCCGTCCATTTCCGCCGCCAAAATGCAGTCGGCGATAATATCTCCGTCTCCACGCGCCGCCCCGTTTATCGCAGTCACACCATCGACCAATATCCAACGAAGGCGTCCCCTATTTGTTAGAGCCTCGATTTCCAATGTAGAGTCTCCAACGCCCAATTCCCCCGCCGTTCAAAAGCTCAACAAGTATAGCTGTCGCATTACCGAGCCGAAGTCGCAGGGCGGCTCTCAGGCGATTCTCCACGGCGTTGGCCTCTCTGACGACGATCTCAGCAAGCCTCAGATTGGCATTTCGTCGGTCTGGTACGAGGGAAATACCTGCAATATGCACCTGTTGCAGCTCTCCGAGGCTGTCAAATATGGAGTTCAAGCAGCCGGCATGGTTGGCTTTAGGTTCAATACGATTGGCGTTAGTGACGCCATTTCCATGGGAACCAGAGGCATGTGCTATAGCTTGCAGTCGAGGGACTTGATTGCTGATAGCATCGAGACTGTCATGAGTGCTCAGTGGTACGACGGGAATATCTCCATCCCTGGCTGTGATAAGAATGTGAGTTTTCTCTTAGCTTCTTAAATTTGTATTTGGGTTTCTGTAAGATTATGAACACTATTGATGCATGATTCTTTAAAAGGTTAAGTTACATGTTTAGTTCGTCAATCTATTTGGTCTTCAAACTTTACCGAATTGAAAGTTAATCGACTTATCGTGACACATTTTAAAGTTCAAAGACAAGAAAAAAACACAAATCTAAAATATTAGGACTAAACTTGTAATCAAATGTTTTAAAAACGATAAGAATGTCATTCAGCTTGATCTGGGAGGTAATTTTTTTTTCTTTTGGACAAATAATGGTTATCTGTATGGAAATCTTGCCTTGCTGAATCAGGTGTGATCTTGTGGGCTCTGACTTCATTTTTATTTTTCTGTTTCACTAGCATTCTTGTATAATGAAAAGTTACAAAGAAAAAGGGAAAAAAGAACTCAGTGAAGAGCTTTAGTTGTTTTTCGTTCCTAATTGTTGGATAAAAGTCACACATCGGCTAATTTAGGGAATGATCATGGGTTTATAATCAAGAAATACTCTCTCCATTAGTATGAGGCATTTTGGGGAAGTCCAAAGTAAAGTCATGAGAGCTTATGCTCAAAGTGGACAATATCATACCATTGTGGAGAGTCGTGTTCGTCTAACACTAATTATAATTGTGAGAAGATAACCGGCTGTTCTACAGATGCCTGGTACAATAATGGCGATGGGAAGGCTGAATCGACCGAGTATTATGGTTTATGGTGGAACCATCAAGGTTTGGGACTTGGATTTCATATCCATGACTTGAATATAAACTTTCAATTGAATCTTATGTTTATCAAGAAGTTGTTTGTAATTTATAGTTTTTTCTGTTGTCTTTTCTTCTGCAGCCTGGTCATTTTCAAGGCCATACATACGACATAGTGTCTGCATTTCAGGTATTTACATAACGAAGGCAAAACCGATTTTTTTTTAATTTTTAGTAATTTCATTTAGAAGTCTCAATATTCATTAGTTTAACATATAAAGTTATTTATGTTTAAAATCATGTTATGTATATATAAAATTCTTGAACACAACGTTTCTTTTTGGGATGATCTCTTCGGGTCTACATAAACATGTAACTACGAGCCTCGATTAAGAGGAGGCTGTTCGAGGACTCCATAGGCCTCAGGGGAGGCTTTATTGTGTACTTTGTTTGAGGGGAGGATTGTTGGGATGGAATCCCACACTGGCTAATTTAGGGAATGATCATGACTTTATAAGCAAGAAATAGTTTCTCCATCGACATGAGACATTTTTGGGAAGCCCAAATCAAATCCATGAGAGCTTATGCTCAAAGTGGACAATATCATACCATTGTGGAGATCCGTGATTCCTAACCATATATTTGTCGATAGCTGTTTGATTAAAAAAAAAAGTACCATTTAAACTTGTTTTAATTATTGCACTTAGGTATATGGAGAATATGTAAGCGGGTTGATAAGTGATGAACAGAGGAAGAATGTTGTCCGCAACTCTTGCCCGGGCGCTGGGGCTTGTGGTGGTATGTATACAGCTAATACAATGGCTTGTGCTATTGAAACAATGGGCATGTCTCTTCCTTACAGGTAAGATATATCTCCAGTCTACAATATCTGTGAGCAAAGGCATTCTCAACATTTATCCTATTTCTCATCTGATTCATGTGTCCTAAAGCTCGTCAACGCCCGCTGAGGATCCACTAAAGTTGGACGAATGCCGTTTAGCTGGAAAATATCTTCTGGAATTATTGAAGATGGATTTGAAACCCCGGGATATTATTACAGAAAAATCACTACGAAATGCAATGGTTGTTGTTATGGCTTTGGGTGGTTCCACTAATGCAGTGCTACACTTGATTGCTATAGCAAGGTGAGGAGAGCCAGATGACAAATTATTCCTTGACTTATGACCTTTTTACTGTAGAAATCGCCGTGGCTAATGGAAATATTCTTGGCAGGTCTGTTGGTTTGAATTTAACCCTTGATGATTTTCAGAAGGTCAGCGATCAGGTTCCTTTACTTGCCGATCTTAGGCCGAGTGGAACATATGTCATGGAGGATATTCACAAGGTCTGCATTTTATTTTCATCTCATTCTCGATCTTAGGCCTAGTGGAACATGTACCGGTACACTATTCTTATGGTCGTTCTTCTTGATAAGTATTGCAACATTTGTTTTGATAGATTGGAGGAACACCTGCAGTTATTCGTTATTTGTTGGAGAACGAACTTTTAGAGGGAGATTGTTTAACTGGTATATTTCGACAAATATTTACATGGCATTTGCAGTTTAACTTCAGCGACTTCCATTAGTGACGCTATTCTCATTTTTTGTTCTTAGTCACGGGAAAAACGTTAGCCGAAAACGCTAAACTTTTCCTACCCTTAACTGAAGGGCAGGTATGATGGCTTTGAGATTAATGCATCCAGGATTTCACAATTCAGGTTATAATTCTCAAGAAAATTATAACTACGCCTCTTGTTCTTTTAATGGCAGGATGTTATTCAATCTTTGGAGAATCCCATCAAGAAAACAGGGCACCTTCAAATATTATATGGAAATCTTGCTCCCGAGGGTTCAGTAGCTAAGATCACTGGAAAGGAGGGGCTATATTTCTCTGGTATCATTTACTAAGCTTTCAGGATGCTTTATGAACCAGAAATGTCATTTACAGTCAAATTTTTTATTTAAAAGATATATTGAGTTTCTTCCTTTTTCTGATTTAGAATCAATCAATTCTATAACTTACTACGAGTTATTGCAAGGAATGAACATAAAGTTCTCTGAAAACAAATGATTCTACTTAAAAAAATCTGTTTTGCAGGTCCTGCTCTTGTTTTTGAAGGGGAAGAATCGATGATTGCAGCAATAACAGAGGACCCTTCAAGTTTTAAGGTACTGATGACATTTCGTAAATTTTAAGGAGTAGACGTATGGATACGCAACACATTGCATATACACGCACGTGCAAGTACTCGTATTTCTTTTGTATGTTCTAACTGAAATTAAATTGGTTTATTGGTTTAGGGGAAAACGGTGATCATTAGGGGTGAGGGCCCTAAAGGGGGACCGGGCATGCCTGAAATGTTAACACCGACTAGTGCCATAATGGGGGCTGGTTTGGGGAAGGTATGATATTTGAACTCATTAGATTACAACCTCTCTGCAGTCAAGTTCATCTTTACACTGCCATTGACATCTACAGGAAGTGGCATTGCTGACTGATGGTAGATTCTCCGGTGGTTCACACGGCTTCGTTGTCGGTCACATATGCCCTGAAGCATTGGTGCGTTTTGTTTCTCACTTTCGTTAAACTATTGAACTTCATTGAAACTATAGAAGCTTAGTGTAGAGAGAGTTCATCCATGTGTGGGTAGAAGATTCAAACCTTTGATCTCTTGGTCCAANTTTTCAAGGCCATACATACGACATAGTGTCTGCATTTCAGGTATTTACATAACGAAGGCAAAACCGATTTTTTTTTAATTTTTAGTAATTTCATTTAGAAGTCTCAATATTCATTAGTTTAACATATAAAGTTATTTATGTTTAAAATCATGTTATGTATATATAAAATTCTTGAACACAACGTTTCTTTTTGGGATGATCTCTTCGGGTCTACATAAACATGTAACTACGAGCCTCGATTAAGAGGAGGCTGTTCGAGGACTCCATAGGCCTCAGGGGAGGCTTTATTGTGTACTTTGTTTGAGGGGAGGATTGTTGGGATGGAATCCCACACTGGCTAATTTAGGGAATGATCATGACTTTATAAGCAAGAAATAGTTTCTCCATCGACATGAGACATTTTTGGGAAGCCCAAATCAAATCCATGAGAGCTTATGCTCAAAGTGGACAATATCATACCATTGTGGAGATCCGTGATTCCTAACCATATATTTGTCGATAGCTGTTTGATTAAAAAAAAAAGTACCATTTAAACTTGTTTTAATTATTGCACTTAGGTATATGGAGAATATGTAAGCGGGTTGATAAGTGATGAACAGAGGAAGAATGTTGTCCGCAACTCTTGCCCGGGCGCTGGGGCTTGTGGTGGTATGTATACAGCTAATACAATGGCTTGTGCTATTGAAACAATGGGCATGTCTCTTCCTTACAGGTAAGATATATCTCCAGTCTACAATATCTGTGAGCAAAGGCATTCTCAACATTTATCCTATTTCTCATCTGATTCATGTGTCCTAAAGCTCGTCAACGCCCGCTGAGGATCCACTAAAGTTGGACGAATGCCGTTTAGCTGGAAAATATCTTCTGGAATTATTGAAGATGGATTTGAAACCCCGGGATATTATTACAGAAAAATCACTACGAAATGCAATGGTTGTTGTTATGGCTTTGGGTGGTTCCACTAATGCAGTGCTACACTTGATTGCTATAGCAAGGTGAGGAGAGCCAGATGACAAATTATTCCTTGACTTATGACCTTTTTACTGTAGAAATCGCCGTGGCTAATGGAAATATTCTTGGCAGGTCTGTTGGTTTGAATTTAACCCTTGATGATTTTCAGAAGGTCAGCGATCAGGTTCCTTTACTTGCCGATCTTAGGCCGAGTGGAACATATGTCATGGAGGATATTCACAAGGTCTGCATTTTATTTTCATCTCATTCTTAGGCCGAGTGGAACATATGTCATGGAGGATATTCACAAGGTCTGCATTTTATTTTCATCTCATTCTCGATCTTAGGCCTAGTGGAACATGTACCGGTACACTATTCTTATGGTCGTTCTTCTTGATAAGTATTGCAACATTTGTTTTGATAGATTGGAGGAACACCTGCAGTTATTCGTTATTTGTTGGAGAACGAACTTTTAGAGGGAGATTGTTTAACTGGTATATTTCGACAAAGTTATTCGTTATTTGTTGGAGAACGAACTTTTAGAGGGAGATTGTTTAACTGGTATATTTCGACAAATATTTACATGGCATTTGCAGTTTAACTTCAGCGACTTCCATTAGTGACGCTATTCTCATTTTTTGTTCTTAGTCACGGGAAAAACGTTAGCCGAAAACGCTAAACTTTTCCTACCCTTAACTGAAGGGCAGGTATGATGGCTTTGAGATTAATGCATCCAGGATTTCACAATTCAGGTTATAATTCTCAAGAAAATTATAACTACGCCTCTTGTTCTTTTAATGGCAGGATGTTATTCAATCTTTGGAGAATCCCATCAAGAAAACAGGGCACCTTCAAATATTATATGGAAATCTTGCTCCCGAGGGTTCAGTAGCTAAGATCACTGGAAAGGAGGGGCTATATTTCTCTGGTATCATTTACTAAGCTTTCAGGATGCTTTATGAACCAGAAATGTCATTTACAGTCAAATTTTTTATTTAAAAGATATATTGAGTTTCTTCCTTTTTCTGATTTAGAATCAATCAATTCTATAACTTACTACGAGTTATTGCAAGGAATGAACATAAAGTTCTCTGAAAACAAATGATTCTACTTAAAAAAATCTGTTTTGCAGGTCCTGCTCTTGTTTTTGAAGGGGAAGAATCGATGATTGCAGCAATAACAGAGGACCCTTCAAGTTTTAAGGTACTGATGACATTTCGTAAATTTTAAGGAGTAGACGTATGGATACGCAACACATTGCATATACACGCACGTGCAAGTACTCGTATTTCTTTTGTATGTTCTAACTGAAATTAAATTGGTTTATTGGTTTAGGGGAAAACGGTGATCATTAGGGGTGAGGGCCCTAAAGGGGGACCGGGCATGCCTGAAATGTTAACACCGACTAGTGCCATAATGGGGGCTGGTTTGGGGAAGGTATGATATTTGAACTCATTAGATTACAACCTCTCTGCAGTCAAGTTCATCTTTACACTGCCATTGACATCTACAGGAAGTGGCATTGCTGACTGATGGTAGATTCTCCGGTGGTTCACACGGCTTCGTTGTCGGTCACATATGCCCTGAAGCATTGGTGCGTTTTGTTTCTCACTTTCGTTAAACTATTGAACTTCATTGAAACTATAGAAGCTTAGTGTAGAGAGAGTTCATCCATGTGTGGGTAGAAGATTCAAACCTTTGATCTCTTGGTCCAAAAGATATGCATTAACTATTTGAATTAATAGCGTTCAAAGTAGGAGAGTGCAATATGTCGAGGAACTAATAGCAACGTTTCTTCAGAGAAAGAAACCTTTTTGGTTTCAGTTTGTACTTGGTCCTTTTTGGCACACAAGAGAACCAGAGTTTCACAAGAACGGAGATTCAAACTTTTGATCTCTCGGTCGAAGAGATATGCATTAATTATTTGAATTAATAGCGTTCAGAGTAGGGAGAAGTCAATATGTCGAGTAACAAATTGCAATCTTTCTTCAGAGAAAAGAAACCTTTTTGGTTTCAGTTTGTACTTCGTCCTTTTGACACGTAAGAGAACCAGAGTTTCACAAGAACGAAGATTCAAACCTTTAATCTCTTGGTTGAAGTGATGTACATTAACTATTTGAACTAATAGCATTCAGAGTAGGGAGAGTTCAATATGTCGAGAAACAAATAGGAAACCTTTTTGGTTTCAGTTTGTACTCTCCGTCCTTTTGGCACACGAGAACCGGAGTTTCACAAAAACTTTTGGAGTGAAGAATGTAATATCAAAGTTTAGACTTTAAGATGAAGAATGCAAAATTTTCTCCTTTTCCTCCCCCCTTGTGCCCCCATCTTTGATCAAATAATGTTCAAATGCTTCGATGTCCAGAACCGGAGTATTGATGTTCAATTATCCGAACAAGAGCTGGAAGAACGAAGAAAGAACTGGATTCCACCTGCATACAGGGCTACCCGAGGCGTTCTCTACAAGGTTCGTGTCATACATAACCATCTCTACGATTCCCATGTCGTAAACTTTTCTTTTCTTCACGTAACATGAAACTATCCTCGTTCTTCGTCTTCAGTACATCAGGAATGTGCAGGCGGCATCGAAAGGGTGTGTGACGGACGAGTAGGACGAACCGGGAGGTTGTAGTTAGAGATCCTTCCTCTAGTTCCCATTTAGACCAACTCAACAAACCCAGTTCCTAAGAGCACTTCCACTCCCTTTCTTGTTTGCTTCATCATTTTTTATCTCATTATTGTTATTGTTGAGATACAATTGTTTGATTGTTTGTACATGCAATAAAATGAATTGTTTATGATGTAATTTGCCTAAAATGTACTGTTTGGTTATTCTGCTCCTCTATTGAAAGGAACAAAAGCACTCATTAATTTGTACATTAATTTTGAGACAAGTGAAAAGTCTCAATGGATCCACCGTGCGTGGGTGTACCTTTTCTGTGCATCTTTCTCGCGGCGGGAACATAACAGGAAAGACTTAGCCGAGCACCCCTGAAAATTAAAAGCTCGAGGGTGAGCTCTTTATTCAAGAGAGAATGGTGTTTTCGTTCTAGGTTTGGTTCAGGCTCCTCTCGATCTTATTTGTAGTTAGAAATGAGGAAGAAGTCTAAATCAATGGACATTAATGAACTATTGATGAGGTGGACAACTCTCGACAACAAAAATCTTAAGGTGTTCATCTTTGAAACTGGGGTAGATATCTTTTGATAATAAAATGTTTTATAATTACTTTTATCCGAGTTTATAGTGAATGAATAAGTAGGACCAAGACCAGTCTTCAATTTTTTTATATTGGTAGAATTCCACCTTTCTGCCTCCACAGGAAGAAGTAGAAGTTCCCGTTGAACGAGGTCGGTTCTCTTTGCTCCTTCCCCTAAACCTCTATTACCTTTTGTGATTGTGAGTTATTCTCGAACTCGGTCAAAGTAGCTCTTGTTCGTTTTTCTTTCCTGATCACCCAATGCTATGCAGGGGCCCACTCCAGTATCCGACTATTCTGAGTTGCGTTTGGATATGGATCTATAGAACATGTTTAAATATTTTTATTTTAAACTTAATTTTGGAAATCATTATAGCCATTATATATATATATAAAATAAAGGACAAAATTAGATTTTTTTTTCCAATAATTTAGCCAATTATTTGCTGTTATTATTATTATTATTTATAAAAGAACATATTTACACATTTATGGAAATACAACTACCGCTAAAATTTTGGACTGAAATGAAATGAAAGCCCAGAAAGTTTTTTTATTGGGCCAAGGTTGCTTAATCGGGCCCCAATAATATCTGGGCCCAAATTCGAATAGACAGTGCGACCCGACCCGAGTCGCAGCAGGGATTAGGGAACGGTGGGTTCTGACTTTTGAGAAGGGAAGAAATAGAATGAAGGTGATTGAATGGCCTCACCATCGTCTTTTTCGTCGTAATTGAATTCAACCTGTGGGCTTCTCGCTTCTCTGGATTTGAACCAGAAACTCGCCGAGGTTTGATCAATTCTTTCGTTTAAACATTGCACTTTTAGGTTAAAATTGCGAAAATTTTCAATTGGGTTGTTGCCTTTTCTTTTTCTATTAATTAATTTACGTTCTGAATATTATTTACTGTGGCATTCGATTCGCCTTCTAGATGATCGGAATGGTTTGTTTTCGGTAATTCTTTTGGCTCTGATTTAGTTGAATGAAATTTTCTGAATCAGTTGGTTCTTGAAAAACGATTAGAACATAACACAGAAGGTTAGAGCTGGAGTACTTGTAGGATGTTGTTGTCTACCCATTGTGCTCTACAAGACATGCATTTGATAGTTGATTGAGAACCGATATCTTCTATAGATTTTGTGGTCGCCTTGGTTTATATCTATCATAGGAAAAAGGAGTGGGAGATGGATTTCTTGATTGTGATAGAAATACATGTTCTACTGTGAAAGAATCTGTGATTTGCTAATACTCTTTCTTAGTAGGAAACGATTCCCTTTGTGGAAAGTTATGCTTCAATAGGATTCAAATAAGGGTAGATTGCTATTTTGCTTGTACATATGCTTATGATTCTACTTTCTCATGTTTCTTTTACTTTTATAGATGCTAAATGCTAATAATTTCAAATCAACAAAACGAGAGAGCATCAAGATGTGAACCTATGGGCTGATTGTAATGATAAGCTTTTTATTAATATATGTTAAATTCTCTCTATTCTTCTTTGTTCATGAATTTACATTTAAATCTACTAGTGAGTGTTAACATGGTTTCACTACTCCTATTCCTGTTTACTCTCAATATGTTCATTAGTTACCACTTAATTCCCAATTGTCCTTTTGTTTTTTGAGTGTCCCCAGTTGGGGTACTAAAACTATTGGGAGTTGATTTTTTTCCCAATGCAGATCATGAAGGAGATGGAGACTGAATGGATCATGGATGTTCCTGATACACCTGATCGGTTAGCTGCCCGACAAATTAATGGCAGACAGTTTATTCAGACAGAGGGTGGTTCATCCTTATCTAATTGTTTGAGAAAGCCTGATTTCATGATGGAAAAGGGGATGAATGGCATGAAGGGAGCAGGGGTGCTTGTCAGTGAAAATGGGCATGATTTGAGATTAGATAGTAGTTCCAAAAATATTCCTGGTGACGATTTTAAGGATCGCAGTAACACCATTATTCTTTCAGCGGGAGAGAATTCTTATGCATCACAAAATCATATTTTACTTAGAAAAGGTGGAAGGGAAAAATATTCATGTCAGGGGCCGAAACCTTTTAATTCCCCTCGTCGCATGGATAAAGGGATAACGATATCTGTCAACACTCATTCCAAACCTCCTGCTCGTCAAGAAAATACTGTCATTCCAAAAACAAGAGAACCTGATCATAAGTACAGACCTCAGATGGTTTGTCCTCATTTTACAGCTAAGGACTGTAAGATGGAGAACACATCGAATGGACAGTCCACACGTTATATGCCAAATGCTCCAAAGAGATCCAGCACAATCATTAAAGGGAAGGAAAAGGCTGTTGAGGAATCAAATAACACTCATAATCGTCATGAGAAGCAAGTTTTGGATTCTCACCGAAAAGGCTGTTGAGGAATCAAATAACACTCATAATCGTCATGAGAAGCAAGTTTTGGATTCTCACCGGTTTGTTAACTCCCCTAGAGCCACTGGACATAAAAGGCTGGTCAGAAATGGTTGTATCTCACCTCATAATATATCAACAAAGACAAAAAATTTATCCGAGCAGTGTGAAAAGAGTTCTAGAGGTGTAGACCAGAGCAATTTAGGGAGCATGCCATCAAGCAGTCCATCTTGTCTGATTGATATAAAGGATATAGTTGCGGAAGACAATCGTATTAACAAAGATAAAGGAAAAAGGATTATGCGTCAAACTTCTACATCACATGATGATGATGATATCAAAGTAATTTGTGCATCTAGCAGGTAACAGAAAGATCATCCCCATGCTATGCTTTTGCAAGGATTAAAATTTTTTAGTTAGTGTTGACACCATGCTGAAATTGTGTTTTTCTGCTCATATTTTGATGTTGGCTGCCTATGTGAGGTATTGGAGACTGAAATTTTCCTCTTGTGAGTTTATTAGTATTTTTGCATGCTCTCGCTCAAGCTTATTTGATCGTTGCTTCGGGTTTCATACATTCAATTGAAATTCTTTATGTAAGCATAAAACTGTACTTTCTTTTAGGGTTCTCATACTTTCGTCACTCTGGAACCTCTTCCCTCTATCGAAGAAGGTGAATCTAGGAGCGGCATCTTTGTTTATTTTATTCACGTTAGGATGTAATGGCAGTTCGTTTATCTTACAAATGTTACCCGTTGTTTTTAGAAATTTCCCATGTTCTCCAAACAACCTTATTGTTTGCTGCCAAAGTGCAAATTTTGACACTTTCAGGCTCTGCTATCCTCGTATCACAAAATAATTTGGTAAACACTTCGAATCCAGCTTTGTTCTTAATGTTAGGATTTTACTACGTCCTGCCGTCTTGAATTGAGTGCTTGTAAAACTACTCACTTTCTCAAGGTTGTTGCATGTTGCCTTTTGCATGTTCGTCATTTTCGTTCGGCCTGAACGTTCTTAGTGCCACTTTACCAGGGACTTTCGATCATATAGATTTGACTCTCCACTATATTGCTGTTCTATTCCATGTCTTCATGTAATAGACTACAGTCTTGTCATTGATTGATTGATTGATTGCTTGGCAAACTACTTTATGACCACTCTAGCAGGTATACGAAACCACACGTTAACTGTTTTGTGGGATTTACAACAACTGAAAGTAGTTGGAAATTGAACCCTATCTAAATATCAGTAAAAATAACGTGCATTTGACAACTCAAGTTGTTGATGCCAATGCATACTAAAATTTAGCTTTGATTTGTCTTGTTATGCCTGCAGCCTTCTGAAGCAATTTATTCTGATATCTTATTTGCTTTCAGTGACGCGGAAAAGGCCGTTGGAGCTAATCCAGTCAGAACTTCCAGGTTAGATACATCTGAATGTTCTGAAGAATTAGGTGGTTGGAGAAGAACACATAATAATTCAAGGAAGGGGATTTTCTTGTCTAATCCATCTGGGAATTCTTTTAAGAAAATAAATAACATTGGAAAACTTTCTAATGGAGAAACTGAAATTGGTATGGAGAGAAAAATCCCTTACAAGAAAGACCAAGGAGCGGAAATTGGTTGTGCTAGAAATGCTGATACAGCTCAAAGGGCTTCTGGCATTGTAACCAAGATAGACCAGACCGTTGGACCAATGCATGCTGAAAGCAAACTCAACAAAAGACGGAAGAAACTTGGATCAACCTCACAAACTAATACTTCATCACACGTTCCAGACACTCAACAAAAGACGGAAGAAACTTGGATCAACCTCACAAACTAATACTTCATCACACGTTCCAGACGTTGTGTACCTCGATACACCTGGGGAGTCTTCAAATGCAAGATCAAATAGACTCCAGAATCAAAGAATTTGTGATAACTTGAATGATGTTATTGAGGTTGATGAGTTGTCACCTGAAATTAGACACCCTGCCTCCCAGACTGTTGGTTGCCCAAATGATGACAGCTTAGATGCTAAGGCAAGACAACTTGAAGCTGATGAGATGTTGGCTCGTGACCTTCAGGAACAACTATACCAGGAGATGCCTGTTGGAGAAGAGGTGATTAATTAATTTTTAAGTTGTGCATGTCCATGCTTAATCAGCAATTTCTAAGAAGGTATTCTTAGTTGTCATAAGTTTTATATTTCTTCTGGCAGATTGATGAACATTTAGCTATGGCACTGCAGCAGGTGGAGAATGGGCATTTTGCACCTCCTTCCCGGCGGACATACAATGTATTATATCCTTTGCCTGTCCTTTTTTAATGGGCATTTTGCACCTCCTTCCCGGCGGACATACAATGTATTATATCCTTTGCCTGTCCTTTTTTCTTCCTGTGATTGCAGCAGCATTTTTGGTGTAATTGACATAGCTTTGAACTACCATGTTTCCTAAATGCATTTTCTTAATGGGTTTGGTGGAAACATAGCTAACATGTTTTCTTCCATTTATTTTTCTCTGTTTTTTTTAAAATTGTATATAATATGATATGCGTGGTAAAAATCATTCTTTAACGAGTACAGTTCAATCATGCGTTCTTATTTCTGATGCTCCATGTATCCTTCTGCTACCTAAAAGTTGATTGGTTCTTTTTTTTAGAGTCAAAGGGGCTCGATGGTAGCACAGGCAAATAGACGCACTCGATCTCAATCTGTACAAAGTTCCTCTAATAGAACACGGACTCGAGTAACCCACTCTGCACGAATGGCACAAATGAGAAATCAATTTTTTGGTGGCTCTCATAGAGTGTCAACTAGACAAAGGAATGTTAATTTTCCTATGCATATGGATTTGGATATGGTAATTACTATAATCTTCGACTCTTTGTCGGTGCTAGGCTAACCAGCTACTTTTTTCTTATCAATCAACATTTTTTTTCCTTTTCTCGTGGACGATATATATGAAACAGATCTTGATGGCATGATGACTGTATTTTGCTGATGAATTTTTGTAATGAGACAGTTTATACTTTACCATTTCTTACCGCTGGTAACTTGCTTTTAATACAGAGACTTGATATATTGGAAGCGCTCGAGGCCGCAGTTGGAGATGTGGAAGATGTGAGAATGAATAGGAGGGGCATCTTGCACATCCAGCGCGATTTTAACGAGTAAGTTTTTAATCTATTCGAAAACAATTTATAACCCAACTTCTATTTGTTGCAAATTATTGTGACATGATCTTTTGTGCACTTGTTTAAATATATATTATGGAGAGAAAATTGGCATTATATATTTATTTAGGTAAAGAGTACGTTTGGCTAGAGACTGAAAACTCATCAAGTGATTTATCTTTTCAGCTTCTTGAAATCAAGTTATTCCCTTTGACCAGTTGTTTTAGATTTATGACTTTCTTTTTCATAATTATTTCTGGCAGGAATGATTACGAAATGTTGCTATCCCTCGACGAGAACAATCACCGCCATGCTGGTGCATCGACGAACCGTATTAATAGTTTGCCTCAATCTACGGTTCAGGTAGGTGGTGGTTCTACATCCAGTTTTCAGTTGTCCTTTCCACTGATCAAAACTCTCGACCACCAGATCTGCTAGTTTATCTGCTCCTCCTGACAATTTGTTTCCCATCTTCCTCAGACCGACAGCATGGAAGAAGCTTGTGCAATTTGTCTCGATACACCGACCGTTGGAGATGTCATTCGCCATCTACCTTGCTTACACAAATTTCATAAAGATGTATGCATGCTTTAACATAGAAGTACCGTCCTCCTTTTCAAGCCATAACCACTAACCTCTTCTCTTTCTGTTTGTTGTTTCAGTGTATCGATCCATGGCTACAGAGGCGAACGTCGTGCCCAGTTTGTAAGTTGTCAATCGCTTGATATTAAGGGCGACTTTGGGGTATTACAAGTCTGCACGCTCTCTTACTCTCTTTTGGAGCCAAGGTAAACCAGATTTATTATTTTCATTTTGTTCTCTTTCTTCTGGATTAGGAGATCATGTAACAGATATTTTCGTATCATGGTGATCCAATTCGGGTTTTCCTTGTGCTACATATTATATGTGATGTTAGAAAGTTAGTATACATATTTTTTTTCTAGACGACGATGGTCTTTTCTAAATGATTCTCGTGCTGTGTAGTTTCTCTAATTTTCTCTTCGTCTCATCGTATAGCTTATTAGAATGCTTGATCTCGGGCAGTCGGAAGCGTTAGACTTCAAAGGTGCAATTCTCCATTGGGGAACAGAGCAAAGTTTCCAGCTCGAAGTCGGAAGCGTTAGACTTCAAAGGTGCAATTCTCCATTGGGGAACAGAGCAAAGTTTCCAGCTCGAACGAGTGGGTATGGTTTTGAATGAATCATCAATGGGAGAAGATTCATAATTTGTATCTATGGCAGCCTATTTATAATTTGTATGCTAAACCATTGCCATAGAGCAAGAAAAGCTTAATATATTGGCTTGCAGCCTATTTATAATTTGTATGCTAAACCATTGCCATAGAGCAAGAAAAGCTTAATATATTGGCTTGGAATGCCCAAAATTTAACAGGAAAACTTCGCAGGTAAAATTGAATTCACCATTCCATTCATCTCTCTAGTAATCTTTATTAGGAATAAAATTATTGAATTAAATTTAGTTTATAAATAGTTTTTTCTGTCTTTAAATTTCAAAATCTTATAATTTAATTTATGAGATTTCTATTATAATTTAATTTATGCAATTATTTTTTAATTGTTTTTTAGTGTTTTTTTAGCTGATTTGATTAAAAATAATTGCTTTTTTTTCTCTTATTTTTTAATTGTTTTTTAGTGTTTTTTTAGCTGATTTGATTAAAAATAATTGCTTTTTTTTCTCTCGGATTTAAAGGGAGATTAAATTAAAACTATAAAGAAAAATTTTAAGTTCAACTTTGTTGCCTTTTCGAGGGATAATTTATATTTTATTGAAAAAATTTATTTTCGAACTTTTAGGTAAATAGTTTGCCTTTTCGAGGGATAATTTATATTTTATTGAAAAAATTTATTTTCGAACTTTTAGGTAAATAGTATTTTTATTAAAAGAATATTCTTTTATCAGCTTGATTTATTATGTAAAATTCTATTTGCTTTATAGGTGGAAACTAATGATTGGCTCTTTTTATCAGCTTGATTTATTATGTAAAATTCTATTTGCTTTATAGGTGGAAACTAATGATTGGCTCTTTTTTATATTTTAGAATTTTGCCCAATTCTTTTATTGATTAAATTTATAATTTAATATAATTTTATCGTAAATAATATTCGATTCTTTATAGGTTTAGATCTTTTCATAACTATCAAATTATATATCTATATATATTTTATACTTTTCCTACCATTTTGATATTTATTTGAGATTACAAATAACTTTTATTTTTAATTCCAACCTAACCCAATAAATAAAATAATTCGATTGCTTTAAACTTAAATCCCAAATTAAATTCTTTTAGCCAAAACTACCATAATTTCGGGAAAGTTACATCGGAAAAGAAAAAGAAATATAAAATTTAAGAAATAAATAAACTACCATAATTTCGGGAAAGTTACATCGGAAAAGAAAAAGAAATATAAAATTTAAGAAATAAATAAGTTGAAAAATATTATGAAAAAAAGCTCATTGGTTAGAAAAAAAAAAAAAAGAAAGAAAGAAAAAAAAAACTGATGCGGCATCTATAAGGAAATATTCTCCTCCAAAATTGCCTGAACCACCCGTATTAAACACCTAACGGTTCAAAAATGTTAATGAAAATTCAAAAAAAGAAAAAAAAATCGAGTCGAAATCCTTCGGAAGAACAGAAAATGAGTAGAAAAATCCGCGTAATCTGCAGCGATCCTGATGGAACAGATTCATCTTCCAGCGAAAACGAAAGAGACGAAGCAAAATCTTCAAAATCGAAGCGCATAGTGCGAGAAATTCACTTCCCCAATTTTCCTTCTCGCGCTTCAAAATCGATCGATGATGAAATCTCTCGGAGCTCTTCTCAGGACAGCAACAATGGCCGCAAAACCTTCAAAATCGATCGATGATGAAATCTCTCGGAGCTCTTCTCAGGACAGCAACAATGGCCGCAAAACCTTAACGAACAGAGGAACGGCCTGCCGATACAGAGGCGTGAGGCAGAGAAAATGGGGAAAATGGGCGGCTGAAATTCGAGATCCCTTCAAGAGAGCTCGTATTTGGCTCGGAACTTACAATACTGCTGAGGAAGCTTCTAGGGTTTACGAATCGAAGCGGCTCGAGTTCCAGACCGCCATGGCCGCCGCCGCCGCCCCAAAACCTCCAGCAGGTTCAAAGCTTCTCATCTGTTAAGTTTTTGAGCGTACGATCTGCGCCGGACGGCGGAGTTGACGGCGAGTGAAGGGAGGGAGAGATACCGGCGACGGCGACTGGAGGGGGAGAATTATGTTTTCCTTATTTGAATGCCATGTCAGCTTTCTTTTTTACCTAGTCATTTTGCCATGTCAGCTTACAGTGAAGCTGAAACTTGCCACATCAGCTTATTGTAAAGCTTAGTCAGCTTCAGGTTGTACTGTTCTTTTTTCCATCTTTAATAGGATAAAATTTAGTGTGAACTTTTGTCTTCAAATTCTATTCACTTTTTTTAATTCATTCACTTGAATAATAAATTTAGTCATTAAAATATTTATTATTATAATAATAAATTTGAATAAGGTAGAGAAGAGATGAAAAATATAATCCATGCCTTACCCCATTTAGCCATCTCTCTTGGGTGGATCCTTTCTCTGGACCCACTCGTGTTTCTGTAGGTCTTAATGTAATGGTTTGTCTAAAAATATACGTAATCATATTTTTCTGTTGCATCGTGCATTTCGTATCACTATCCTTCGTCCCACTTTGATTTGTCTAGATGTAATCCAAGCGAGTTCAAGTATTAAACAACGTATCTACTGAAGTAAATACGATTGTCTCAATAACAATCCCTATCAATTAGATTATCGTTGAAATAAGGATAATATCGATTTTAAATTATGCAGCAATAAGAAATTTTAGCATTAAAGTTAACAATATCTACAGATTTTTGGATATCAGCGGATCTTTGGCTTGTTTCAGCTGATTGAGCAAGCCAGTTAATTAATTACATACAATAGCTTAAGCTCACGCTTGAGTTCTTTCTTTCTTTTCTCCTTTTCCAATTCACAAGAATGGTGACTTACATGTTTCATCTACTACCTACATTTGGCCTCTTTCTGATCTGGAGCGCTATCGACATGCTGCGAAGTCTATTCGTTATCTCGGTGAACGATGGCCTCGCTGCAGGTTCAGGTGACCAACAATCTTCCATTAGCTTTTTCCATTCGGTATCGCAACGTTTTGGGATCGGTGGTCTAAGAGTATTACTTACAATTCCACCTGCTCACCAAATTATAAAACAATTTGAACAATACATCTCGAGATGATTGTTAAAGAAATAAGACATGGTTGAAATTGATTTTAAAATGCTTAATAGCATTTTTGTTAAGTAATATTAAAATTTTGTTTAAATATGTAAGATCTACGATTAAAATGATTATACAAAAACCACACTTAATAAAACACTTGTAAACAAATCATTCTCACTAAAATGACGCAGACGTGACAAATAAGATCAGTATATATCGACCGATGACAAAATTTTGCAATGGTTAATCAAGTGTGGTCGAAATGATATTAAGTATACAGCAAGAAGAGACAAGGAGTAAAGAAGAATGAAAGAAATTTTCATGTGAAGTATTGAAGCAAGCGTGGAACTCTTTTGAGAAGGTACTAAAAAAAGGAGCCTAGGAGAGAAAGTTACCAATGATGGCACCACAATGCATGTTGGCATATGGCTCCTCGCCAGTCAAAATCTCCCACATTGCAATACCGAATGAGAAAACATCAACCTATTAGAAAGAAAAATGATGAAAAGTTCTGATCCCACATTGCAATACCGAATGAGAAAACATCAACCTATTAGAAAGAAAAATGATGAAAAGTTCTGATCGCGTGGGATGTTATCATCTTTTGATCTAAACCTACGTAACGCAATGTTTACATGACTTGATTGGATTGAAAAAACGTAAGAGCTCTTCGATTTTAAGTTACCTACCTTCTCAGAGACCTTAGAACTGCCGGATTGAAAAAACGTAAGAGCTCTTCGATTTTAAGTTACCTACCTTCTCAGAGACCTTAGAACTGCCACTATCTAACAATTCTGGTGCCATCCATGGAAGAGTTCCACGCACACCTCCAGAAACAAGTGTGTTGCGCTTAATTCTCGACAACCCAAAATCTCCAACCTGAAAGACATCAAATGACCCACAAACGAGCTCAGTGTGACTTGGATATTAAATATGAATTTAAACTAGTCAAAGGAAACTAAAAAGAACTCTTTCAGAAAGTTTTAAATGGATATTAAATATGAATTTAAACTAGTCAAAGGAAACTAAAAAGAACTCTTTCAGAAAGTTTTAAAGCCTAAGCTTATAAACAGGGTCGAAATTTTTCCACCTTACTCGTTCGCATGCCTCCCTGTTGATAATCAATTTTGTTTTTTGTTTTTAAAATGTGTTAACAAACTAAGCAAAATTTTAAAATGGAAAAGAAAGTTCTTAAGAACTTGATCTTTCTTCTAAAATTTGGCTTAAAACTCTGTGAGTGAAGTAGCATAATCATAAAAAAACAAAATGACTATCAACAGGCCTTAATTATCCTCAACAGCATCTCAAATAATATGGTATTGGAAAATTGTCGGGCGTGAGATGTTAGCTGTGTTGACAATTACCTTGCATATGGGTCGTTCAGGATCCCTCAAGTTGACCAACAAATTATCACACTTCAGATCAAAATGAACAATGTTTTTCAAATGCAAATATTCCATGCCAAAAGCTGCATCCATTGCAATCATAAGCCTTTTCCGACGATCAAGCACTCTGCACAGAGAATGCTAAAGGTTCAAATCCCTTTTCACAAGAAAGAAGAGAAAAAAAAAAAGTGAAGTTAGAAAAATTTACCTATCCTTTCTTAAAAGAACATGCCTTAATGACCCGTTTACCATATACTCCGTTACAGTTGCCAACGTTCCATCAGGTCCATCAGGAACCACTCCATAAAAAGCCAACACGTTCGGATGGTGAAGAGTCGATAGAATCCTTGCTTCTCTCCAGAAATCTCTAGTCTAAGCAAACAGTGAGATTTTTGGTCCCATTTGTGAAAAGTTGGAGGAATTAGATTGTAGGAAGCATGTTCATAGGCCTAATCATTATTGAAATGCATTTGAGAAAATAAAAAGGTGCAGCTTTTTCTTTGAAACTGCAGGCAAAATTTTGTAACTTTATGTGATAATTTTCATAACCAATATCTTAAGAAGCCCTTGAACACTGGAATTGATTATACATTTAAAAAGAAATTTTCAAAGTTATGTGAAACCCACCAGTCTTTCTTGCTCAGAAAAACTTCCTGAGAAGCAACTCTTTTTTATTCTCTTAATAGCAACATCCGTTCCCCTCCATTTTCCATGAAAAACTGTGCCAAACGTCCCAGATCCTAATTCTTGCAGTTCCTCGAGATCTTCATTCTTTATGATCTGCATATCAACATATGAATCGATCAATTAAACATAATGCGAACTTCGGAGATTGAAGAAAGGTAAGAGACTTCAAATACTAATAGTTCACACTCTCCATACGTAGATGGTACAGAAACAAAATAATTCATGACCAACAGAGTGAACTTTCCACTCAATTCACTATTAACAGCCCAAGTCCACCGCTAGCAGATATTGTCTTCTTTGAGCTTTCCCTTCTGAGTTTTCCCTCAAGGTTTTAAAGCGCGTCTGCTAGGGAGATGTTTCCACAACCTTATAAATAATGTTTCGTTCTCCTCCCCAACCGATGTGGGATCCCACAATCCACCTCCATTCGTGGCCCAGCGTCCCTACTAGCACTTGTTCCCTTCTCCAATCGATGTGGGACCCACAATCATGGGACCCAACATCCTTGCTGGCTCACCGCCTCGTGTCCACCCCCTTTGAGGCTCAGCCTCCTCGCTGACACATCGTCCGGTATTTGTCTCTGATACCATTTGCAACAGCCCAAGCCCACCGCTAGCAGATATTGTTCTTTTTGGGCTTTCCCTTTCGAGCTTCCCCTTAAGGTTTTTAAAACGCGTCTGCTAGGGAGAGGTTTTCACACCCTTATAAAGAATGCTTCGTTTTCCTCTCCAATCGATATGTGATCTCACAGCTACCATCGTCTTTATGCTAAAATTGCAAAATTCTTATCCACGGCCTTAGATGTTTTCTTCTAACCAACAAGAAAGAGTTATTAAGCACAAATGACAAGTGTGCGTGGAAAATGCTCAATACTATTACAACAACATCCACCGATACATATTTTACAAAGATCGTTATTACCACAAGGTCGACATGATTTCAAAAAGTTAGAGGTACCTTAAGTGGACGAAAGAATTCAATAGATGTTATATATGAGAATTAAATCCATACGGAAAGGTGCATATGTTGTGATAAAGTAGAGAAGCTCCGAACCTGCAGGCCATAGATGCCGGCTTCAATTTCAGCTATTGCTGCCTCGCTCATTGATTCATCCCTAGAACTAAGAATACTGTCTGCATCCTGAAATAATGGACTATTGGATTAAAAACTAATAAACTGGAATACTGGCACAAAAGTTGATATTCACAGGAAAAGTGTACCTCATGGTCAGTTTCCGTACTAGGAATATGAGCATCATGTCCTCTTGAAGATGGAGAGTCATCACTGGCCTCATTTTCAACCCGTGGGATAACTCCAGAAGCTAAGGGTATGTCGGGAGGTATACTATGAGTTACATCTTCAACTATTACAGCTAATCCCACGTCCTCATTGCTATGAAAATCATCTGAATTTGATGATTTGATAAATAGAGAATCATCAAGGTTGCTCTTTTTTCTACTATGGTCGGCAACCTTACGGTAATTACAGGTTACGAAGTTCTCATCGCTTAGAGAAACATCTCTACCTAAAGCAGAACTATCCCATGTCTGATAATAACAAAAAGAGACAGTTAGCTCATATAAATTGAAGCCTAAAAGAAACATTATTATTTTAAAAAAGAGATACACTTACTGGTTCCTGATTTATGATCTTTCTGTCGCACAAAGCTTGAGTTGTAAGAGGTAGTAGATCAGAAGATGCGCAAGAAAATGGTTGGCTCCTTACTATATCAGAAGTGGTTCGTTGATCCTCGACAGAATATTGTCTCTCCTCGAAAACTTTTGGAACAGTTGTTTCTAAATGGTAAATGAGGGAGGGGCCATCCACGACATCTGTAGATTTTTCTAATTCAAACCCTCGTTCTGCAGAAGTTCTGCCTCCAAGGCTTCGTGCCTCTAGCGGGGGGTAACCATTTTGTTGGTAGTCAACATGTTGCAAGTATTTGTATTTTTCATCACCATTAAGTGATGGGACATAAATCCTTCCATTGAAATTAACCTTTTTTTCATCAAAATTGCATTCTTCATATCCTTCATTCTCACTACCAGACGCCAACGTTCCATGTTTCTCATACTTGGCATCTTGAAATTCCCCGCCAACTCTCTGTTTCCATATCGTTTGGAAATCCTGAAAGGAACTTGATATTGCCATTGAATATAATTGATCACTATCATTGAATGAGTTCAGTGGATAGGCTCCTCCATGTTTCAACTTTTGATCCTGTTCCTTTAGTAGGGGCTCAGAATGTGAATGCATCATTGTTTGTCTCATGTGGGTGGTTCCAGATCTTAACTGCATCAAATATTCGGCATCCAAGTACAGCTGTTCATAATTAACTGCCCGTTCCTTGAGCAGAGTTTTGATTGAATGTGTATCACTTTGATCCCAGTAAGTTGCAGGCACAAAATGTTCGCTGGAGCTTTGTGGGAAATGAACATCATGAGCTTTGTATTTCTCATCAGCTTCCACTGTAGATTTGTCATGATGATAATTCATCAGCGGAGAACCATGGTAAAGGTTATTGTGACGGCCCATTGCATCAACATAATAAACCGTATCACATGGACGTTTTTCTGCAACAAATGGAGTGAAGTTTCTAGCATCTTCTGCGTATGTTGGATCCACGTTCTTAAAATCTTTTTGGATTACTGTAACCGGAGAAAATATAGGTGTTTGATTAAGTGACTTGCGTGGGGTTTGAATGGGTATTAACAATTGACCACCAGGTCTAGGAAACATTCCTGCCAAATTTGGTATAGGTGAATTGGCATCTTTTAAGTCTGTAGCATGTGAAGAAACAGTGCAAAAATTGGGACTAGGATCTGAGATGGTTCCCACCTGGCTAGTCTGGCTTGTGAAACTCTGTCCACTAGAGCTCCTTTGAAGACTTGGGTCTAGCATACCATTTACAGCCGCAACATATTGATAATCAACATCAATTGGTTGAACCACCCTTCCTTCAATAGAAGTAGGACTCTCACAACAATCATTTGTAGAAACAAGAATTATTCTGAGTCTTTGAGAACTCCCTGCGCTTTCCAGCTCATGATATTCCTCAATCATATGATGAAGATCCTCATCAGAACAAACAGAGATAAGTGAATCGAGATCTTCACCAGGAAGCTGGTACTTTATAGTGTGGACATACTTACAGACAGCGTATGTCTTTCTGATAAGTTGTTCACACGAGATGTTTTTCCTAATGGATATAATGCGTGTTTCTCCACCTACATATCTAAGCTTCCCATCATTAGGCCTTGGTAATATTCTACCTCCAAAACTACAGAGAAATTTCATCTTGCCAGTGACAGGGAAATCTCCCAATCCAGCCCCACAAGGATAACATGAATGAGGTGATTCCATTGCATGCAAGGCCAGTGTTGAGGGGTCAAATTGAACTCCTCGGTTAATTTCATCAGCATATGCACCAGATGCTTGTCCAGTAGCACTATATTCCCACTGATATTTGCTTGTGTTGTTAGGATAAACCTTGTTATCCCTTTCAGCTGCATAAGCATTCGCGGGCATTGATGATAATTCTGAACTGCTTTCAGAATTCATCCTCTTGAGTCCAAGAATTCCACTGAGATCCTCATATACGAGTTGGCTGCTCGGATTTAAAGCAAGACCTGTTCTCTTTTGCGGCTGCTGTTGTTGATCTCCATCACTCACATCCGACAACCTTCTTAAAGCAGCTCGATCCCTCACAAACTGGGGAGAAAATACCTCACCCGTCTGTACACAAACATCACTCACACCATGATCTGCAGTAATTCGGACATCCGTAACAACTCTTGGTCGTTCCATGTATAATTGTTGGCTTAAAGTGTCATGTACTTTCCTAGCCATGACCTCAAAAACTTAAGCCGTTCAACATATGAACATTTTCAGGCCTTTTAAGCTATCTTCTCCATTCTTCTTCAAAATATAATTATTTTCAGCCACATGAACAACAATAATCCACAAATTTTCTAATTCTACACTCCGAACACCTAAATAACCTCTTTAGATGCTCATTTCGTTTCTCCTAAATTTACAGAACATTCAATCTCCTCAAATATCGCAGCAAGGGCGAGTCAATGCCGGCACCGACAGTTTCCATTCATTTCTCAACAACAATAATAATAAAAAAAAAAAATCTAAAACCACGCGGAGAATTGAAACATTGAAATGTACCTAGAAATCTTCAAATAGACCACGTCGAAAAAAAAAATTCCCTCGCTCCCCTAATCCAACTGCAGAACGAAGATACATAGAATTAATTAACAAAAATCGGCAAAAACTCACTCATTGTGAACATCTTGCAACAGCGCGTGGTATTTGGGGGAAATCTTTCTCTTAACAAACACAAAATTTTACCCTAGCTAGAAACGATCACAATACATACGGGAGATGAGAAATTCAAAACCGTACCTGTTTCCGATTCTGCGAGCTTACAATCGAACGAAAAAACGCTGAAAAAATGAGAGAGAAAGATGTTGAAAGAGGAACGGAGTTGTAGGAGAGCAACAATGGCTAGCATATCGCGGCAAAATCAGAGGGACGGAAGCTCCCAACCGCCAAACTAATTTATGAATTTCTCGCTTTTTTCAACGCAACTCCTCCAGTTGGTTTTTTTTTTTTTTTTTTTTTTTTTTTTTTTAATTATTTTTTTTTATTTTAAAAATATATTTTAATATCCATTCATGAGAAGATTTGTGCTCATAAGTAAATGAATTCTAAAAATATTATATAATTAATTATTGAGAATTTTCAATCCTAGTTAATACCAACTGTCACGGTCGTACTTTTCAAACCATGCAACGTAATGATTCTAACATGAACCCTAGACGAGGTTTTCCTTCATCTCGTAGACCGAACATAACTCCTGTAAAAACTAAACTTTGTTTGACAATGCATGTCGTCGATACGAGCATGTTTACTCATTCGCAGCTCTAGCCAACTTACCTCTACTCTAAGCCAAAGTCCTTCAAATGTAATAGCGTTTCTCGTCTTTTCATCTTAATTGTGATTTTATCTCAGATCTCGAGATGACATCGGCCTTTACTACTCGCTCGAACATGTTTTTCGAGAACTAACCCATAAATCAACTTTATATTTGAGACAATTCGAACATCCATCCATTTGAGTATATTATTGAGGCACAAACGCTCTCGTATCCATGTCAAGTCATTTATGCGTATCGTATCAGAGAGCAACTCCTATAACAACCTCTAACTCGAGGGACGAGTCACAATATCGACAAATTAGTATCGTTCACCATTGTTCTCGAAAACTCTCGAAGGAAGACGCCTAAAACACTCATTTTGTAACTCACGTAGGCTACACGACCATAATATTTAATTTGATTTTGTAATAAATTATGAATTATGAACATATGTGTACGTGGATACCAACTTTAGAAGATCTTAGACGAAATCAAATCCTACGTGGAAAATAGTGGCTGACGTGCTTCCCACACAATGTATTACTATTATTATTATTTTATTATTTTGTGTCTCGTGGAACTTTAATCCCGATATTATTAAAATTAATGAATTTAGGGAGATTTTTATATTATTTTTTAATAAGTGAAAATGGCATATTAAATTGATATAGGGATACAAATTAGTCATTTATTAAATATAGTTAAATAATGGAAATATTTGGTTTAAACTAAAATTACATTTATGACTATAAATTAAGTTCTATAAATTATTCATAAACTTTCTTGGGTTGTTTGGGAATGCAACCCAGATGGGCAATAAATGATGTCAAAGGCTAAATATGGGCGAGAGACCGGTAGCAAACAAGTACCGTGAGGAAAAGATGAAAAGAATGTTAAGAATTTAGAATTCGAATTCAGCACTTAACAATCAAATATTTTCTTGCATTTACTGCAATATAGTCACGTTACAAATGATATCATAGTTGTACATTTACTAGTAGGACGTGGTTTAGGGACGAATCAAGATTGGTGGCCACAGGTGACACTCGAGTAAACGAGAGATACATATGAATGAAAGTGATCCTGAAGGTAAAATGTTAGAAAAAATTTGAATTTATTATCTCTACCAATAAGATGCATCTTTCTTTTTCAGTACCTCAATCATAGGAACACTAAAATTAGAAACCGTATGTTTAGTGACATCATGGGAACTTGTGTTGATACAAAGATTTGAATCGTTGGGTCATTGTAAATTTTGTGTGTTATCGATAACGAGAGTAAGTCGCAAAAAATAAAAAGCTAACAACAATATGCTGCTAAGTTAGTTTAGTTTAACTCGACGCTCGAGTTAGAACTAGGATTTAGGTTTGATAAGAAACGCTCAAATTAGAACTAGGGCTCTGAGTTTGGTAAGAAAGCTTAGAATATAGAGATCAAGTATTGATTGGATACCGACAAAATTTGAATTTATACTCCAACACTTCGGAATCGTTATTAAAATGACTAACTTGGGCTGGGCCGAGCCCATGGTTGAAAGCCCTAAAGGCTAGCCAGCCCAAGCCCATATCATAGACATAGACACGTCGGCCCAATTTTGTAGGAAAAAAATAATTCACAAATCCAATTTAAATATTTAAAAAAAAATAAAATCAATAATTTACTAAATAATGATATAATTTATAAATAAAAAAGCACAAATTGATATATAAATATAAAGAAAAAAACGTATAAATAAACAAAGAAAAAGAAATATTACACAAGTAATTAAAATATTATTTAATTGATTTGATGAATATAAAATTTAACGTTATTTTTTATTAATGATAATTAAATAGTTAAACATCTAATTAATTGATTAATTGAATTTTGTTCAAATTTATTTTTTAATCTAATTAAATTAATTAAAGTGGGGATTCTATGCATTTTTTAAATCCTCTAAAATTTAAAAATATTAAATTAAAAAATGAAAAAGAAAAAGAAAAAGAAAAAAAAAAAACAATTAGTTGGGTGATAAAATTTAATTAAAGGCTAAGGCATCCCATGTGCACGTGGGCCACTCATTTGGCTTAAAAGGCTTTCCTTTTGATGTTCCTCAATTTTAGCGATTTTAATGATCTAAATGCTTTTACCTTTCAATTTTTTATTACACCTTTTATTTTATTTTATTACTTATTATTTTTATACATTAAATTAAATAAAATATTTTCAATTTCAATAATATTTTTAAATTAAAAAAAAATTAAAATATTTTTATTATTAATTTTAGATAGAAATCGTTAATCATTTGCTTAAAAAATATCGTTGAATTATAATTTTTCTATTAATACATTTTTAACTTTTTCAACCCGTTCCTAAAAACACTTAGTTACTATATTATATATATATATATTTTGTGAGTATACGGACGAAAACCGTCTATCGATTCCTCGTAGATTACCTTAAATTTTTTTATGTTATTTTTTAAAGTTTATGAATATTTTTTTTAAAGATGGTAATATATTTGAACATTTTAAAAAATTTAAAAATTAGTTTTGAAATTTTTAAAAATTTAAATGTATTTTTGAAAGTCACGTAAATGTTTTTTAATACTATTTTAAAAGCACAATGTAATTTTTGAAATAAAATATTAATAGTTTCTTAAAAAAAAAAAAAAAAAAACTATGGTTATATTGAACTTTTAAAACTTTAAACCTAATTATTATGAAACTCATTTTTAGAAATCTTGTTTAAGAACGAGATCGATCTAAATTATCTAAGAACCCCAAAAACGATAAAAAAAAAAAATCAATCTAATGGAAAGTTTAGGAACGGATTACCTTGATAATTAATATCAAGAGTAAAAAAAACTCATTTCTAAACCCGTGATTTAAATTACTCCACAAGATAATTTGATCGAGATTACTTGAACGACAATAGCATGTAAATCTAAACATAAGAAATACAAAGAAACAAGCTCGTGACTTAAGAAGTATAATATGCAACTTTTATTATAATATCCAAAATATTCGTACTAAAATAATAATTTTATATACCACACGTATTATTTATTGAACAATTAATAATATAAAACATAACCTATAAAATATAGAGGTTTATATAATATTTGTAATGAATTACATACGTTACTTTTATAATAAGTTGTTTTAAAGATGTTTAATGACTTATTTATTTATTTTTGGAAATTTGGCTTAAATATCAATTATATGGTTAAGAAAATAACCATATTTTCTAAAAATTAAATGTAATTTTTTAAAAATTGAAATATTAAATTATTAATTTATAAAATCAAGATGTTAAAATATAGGGAAATAATGGTTTTTGTTATTTGCTATGGGAAATAGTAATGATTATGGTCTCTTTTGTTTAATGTTTCAAACACAAACATTGTTAGAGATAGCTAAAGGATGGGAAGAGGACGAGAACGTGCCCGTTGGCAGCAATGTTATTTGAGCATGAGCGGGTTCTGGTGTTTGAAAGGGACGTTAGAAATAGCCAAAAAGTGGGACGAAGACGTGAAAGCTTTTCTCCATCTTTTATTTTAATCTTCATCTTACGAAAATTTTGAAGATTCCTTCACCAAATTTGTGAGAATCGAGTTGAAAATTTCAGGGTGAAAAATTGAGCAGATAAGGGGCTGAGGAATATGATCCTTATCCCTAATCTCGTTTAGGTTAAATCTCTCTCCACTTCCTCTCACTTCTCATTTAAACGGAAATTTACAACCTTGTTCGAGACAAATCTCCACGTGGTCCCACCGTACAGATTAAATTAACATTTCTTAATAAAAAAAATGTAATTAAAAAAAATAATTAAAATACATGAAATCAATTAAAATAATAATTCAACTATATAATAAATTTAAATACAAATTAAAATGTCCAATTTATATAATTCAAATAAAAAAACAACTTTTAAAATTATTTTTTAGTAGTAATTATTTATCATATTTTAATTTACAGTGTAAGTGGAGGATAAGTTTTTTATTTATTAAATATTAATTAATATTTTGAATGGGATTTTTTAATAAATAATATTAAATGGCAATAAGAATTTGATTCGTAAGCCAACCTAAATAGTTCCATAATTCGAGGAGTATTATAAATTTTTTAAAATATTTTGCTTTTTAGATAAGATTTGTCGGTCACGATTATGCTATTACAGACCATACGGAGGCTTCCACGTGTCCCTTTAGATAAATTTTAGTGATGGAATTTTTTAAATATTTTGGTTTGGTATAAGTGTCAGTTGAACTTCCGCCAATCACTCCTTGACAAGTGTCATTTCTTTCTATTTATTTATAAAATGTTCTTACGTTTTGTAATTACGTAATAAAATATAAGGAAAAATAAAGGAAGGAAGGAAATGACGTGGCAAGAGGGAAAGAAAGAGAGAGTGGGTCCGACGTGGAGAAGTTTGAACGCGAACCGAGTTGGCCACGTGACCCGATTCTTATGCGCATTTATGTGGACCGGGGTGGGCCCGAGTTTCGACCACGTTGTCGGGTTGGCGTTGGCGATGACGTGGCTCGGTATTAGCAATTAAGCAGGTGAAGCTGGGCCCACTTTCTTCTATCCGCAAATCTCTGCCTAATAAACGAAATGCTATAATAATAATAATATGACGACGAAAATTTCGAATTAT